GAAATTAAAAGTGTGAACATGAAAGTTGTGATCCGCAGATATGTTCATAAACCTAACTGAATGTTGTATAGGAATGGTGAAATCCATTTTCATTCATAAAACATTATGATAGATTATAGATTTCAGCATAAAATAATTTAACAAAGCTGTTTGATACATACACAGACATGTCTGGTTATGCTCCACTAGAGGACACTGCAATGATTCCTTCACCTTACCACATTCCTTCTCATCTGGAGACCTTGACCAGGGTCAGACAAGACTGTTTCAGTCTTATATTAATAATAATAATAATAATAATAATAATAATAATAATAATGTTTATCATTATGTGTATGTTACTCTGACTTATAAAATGCATTTATTTCACAGCAGTTTTCACTGCAAAGAGCCTGTAATTTTAATCTTTAATTTAGATGGATCATTTTTTTGTCTACAAAGAAGAAACTAAGGAAGAATATCTTGCAGAAGGTTTGTTCATTAGCATTTCATTAATGAAATACAGCAAAATCAAATGAACAACATTCTTATCTCCTACCTTTTCATTTCTTAAAGTTTGCTGTGGAATAAAGCCTGTCAACAAATATTTTGTGAAGGATGGCATGGGGAACAAGGTCTTCGGTATTCTTGAGGACAGCGAGTGTTGTGACAGGTCTTTCTGTGCTAGTGGACGTTCTTTCATAATGAATGTTACAGACAACTCAAATCAAGAGGTCATCAGACTGCTGCACCCGTCTGCTTGCTGCTACGGCAGCCATGAGGTATTAAAGTTATTCTTGTCTCGTTTAACATGTTTAACATAATATAATATGTTATATTATATGTTGTATTTATATTCTAGCTGGAGGTTCAGTCTCCACCAGGCACTACAATTGGATATGTTCGAAAAAACTGGCATTGTTGCCTATCGAAATTTACTGTTGAAAATGAACGAGGTGAACCAGCATTTAAGATTGAGAGACCATTTGTAGGTTGTACCTGCTGCACGGATCAAAACTTTGAGGTAAAGCACATACACTCAGACAGAAGTTTCAATTTTTCATTCACTATTAGCCCATTGATTTTGAATTGACAAAATGTATTTTCTGTCATCTAGGCTTAAACGTAACCTTTACATAAACCGTTTTTTTAGATTATAATTCAAATGATATTTAGTATGCTTATTAAGCCTTTTACCTCATTGCCTGACCCACATTGGTTGTAGGGGATTTCAGGCTGTGCTATATTTCTGAGGTAATTTGATCCCCACAATGAAGGCAAAAAAACTGGCCCAAAAACACACGTTTCTTTGGTTCTAAAGAGCTAACAAGGTCTTGTTGCTGATTTAAACAGAAGCAGAATGAAGCTGAAGTTTCAAATCCAGTGCTGTTTTTTTTATGTTTCTTAGATCACTAAAAGTAGGCCCTATTTTATATTATTATTATAGTGAAAATAGAATATTAAAGTGAAAAAGGCAACATACTGTAGATGAGGACTAGCTACTAACCAACATTGCTGGAATGGTTTATGTGTTAATGTGTGCTGTTATTACCTGCCTTATACTGTGATCACAGCTGCTGTCTTTGAATGAGGAAGTGACAGAAAGATCATTTGGCAAAATCATCAAACCTTTCTCATGCTGTGGATCAAATGCAGATTTTGTGTTGAGGTTTCCAAGCAACCTGGATGTCAAAATGAAAGCTACTCTACTGGGGGCCTGCATACTTATTGTAAATATTGTTAAAAATACCTTTTAAAACATTTTCATTTTCAGAGTTGTAATGTAAGTCTTGTTCGTAATTTATAATTCTAACTTGTTTATTTATTATTAATTATAATTAATTTGCAGGACTCTGTGAATTATCACACGTCACATGGTGAACCGCTCTTGTGTACCTCCATATCATTGGCATTCAGCTATTGGAAAATGTCCTAGGTGGGGCTGTGCCACATCCAACAATTTCAGCAAACATCCCAGTATGATTTAATGCTAAACAGTAAAAGTTAAAGAAAAAGTTTTATTTTTTTTATAAGTTAACAAGAAGGAGTATGTTTCAAAATATGTTTCAAGCCTCTCAAATTATAGTATTAGTGTTTTATCAATACTAGAATTTGAGATGCTTTGTAATAAGTTTGTAATAATCTCTCTTCCATATTAGTGTTTAGTGTATAGAAGAAGAAGAAGAAGAAGGACAATTAACTGAAATATATTCTGTGAAATGTCAGGCAACTGATTTAATATCAGCTGTATTTATAGCACTTCTGAGTTTATTAATACAAAATTCCAGTTGTTGATTGGTCTTACATATTGAAGACAACAAGGGCAAGAAAGTAACTGTATCACACTTGTTGAACAACAAGAAATAAATGTCTGATTTCAAATTCCTGTTTTTTTTTTTTGTTTTTTTTTTAGAATAACTCACAAACTTATAGAGTCTTTTAGAATTATGACAGGCCAAACAATGGCTGCATGGGAAAACCCCACTGAACCTTTGATTATTTTTTTATTTTTCAGAGATAGCCGTGAGGGCATGTACCAAATAAATTTCTTCCTCTAGAATACACTAACAGAGGTCCATCATTAAACAATTCTTAACTTTTTTTTGTCTGTATTTAAAATATGCCAATGTTTTTTAATTAAGTTTTTGATGTTCTTACCAAAATGTGTCGGCATGTCGAAAAATCACCTATTATTTTTTTATTTTTTCTAGAATGTTTAACTGAGACATCCAAAGTTTCCAAAGTCCAAAATCCATTTTTTTTAAATAACCTTGTTCTAAAAATTGATTATACAATTTTCTTGGCTCAATATCAGTCCATTCTGCAAATACATCTTTTTCAAGAAACCGACAAGACTAGAGTAAACCCTGTCTTAATGGTTGCACATGGCTGCTTAAAGGCACAATATTTTTTATTAAAATATCCAAAAACCACTAGAACAGTGTTATGTATTTTGCTGACTTGTGTACTTACATTATCCCAAATGTTTTGAAGAATGTTTAAATCCAGAGAAATAAGCAATTTTAACTAGTGGCACGGACCGTGTGTATAGTGTCATTGTGTCGCCTGCCAATGACGTCATAACCCCTCGATTTCCGGTTTTGTTTTGTACAAAACATGGAAACACCAAAGATGCTTTAATATGTTGTGCGTTTTAATAGACCGGTGACGACCGCAGAGGGTAGCATTATAACAGAACTTTCAAACGTATCTACTATGATAGTGCTGCTTTACCCCACATACGCACGACCGGAAGGAGCGGAAGCGGTCGACTGTGGCATAATAAAAGCTCCGCTGCTTTCGAGCCGTGTGTCACGCTCATTCAGTGGCCTCATTTCGCTTCGACGGCTTTCAGCCTCACCCTGCTTCATTCTACTACGTTAATAAATCATTAGCTCATCCATGAACATGATTTCTGCCCGAGTCCTCTCAGATTGCATCAGCTGTGGGGATGAAGACGACAACTCCCATGATTCCACACTCAGTCACGGCGTCATCAAACTACGCCTTTGTCTCTTTGTTTATTTTGAATACGCGCCCTCTAGCGGCAAAAATTACATATTGTGCCTTTAATGTAATAGGCTGTTTCTGTGTGTCAGTTTTTGATATACCATTGTTGATAAGGTTTGATCCACTATTAAAACTTTAGGATCAAGAAATGGGAGCTCTCTATTATTGTATTCCATATTGAATTTAATAAAACCACAAAAACTATTAATCTGCATGAAAAGACTAGTTCCTCCTTTGAGCCCTTGAAAAGTATAAAAATGCATCCACGATAAAATAGATTACTGTAGAGGGGGTTGTTAGAAAATACAAACCTTTCTTACAAAAACCCCATCGTTATTATTGCTAAATCTGGTGCAAAACAAGATCCCATTGCAATGCCTTGTGTTTGTCGATATAAATCATTTTCATATAAAAATTATTTCTTAGTGAGAATCAATCTTGCCATATCTACTAATACACTCTCAGAAAAAAAGGTACAAAAGCTGTCATTGAGATGGTACCCTTTCAAAAGGTATGACTTTGTACCTTATGACACCACATACATCTCAATGTAACACTTATTTACCCCTCAGTGGTGCATATTAATAACTTAAACTTACTGTCCCAGTGACAGTTTTTGTACACTTTCCCCAACCCTGGAAGTAGGCTATATCAGATTTGTGATTTGTAAAGCGCTTTGAGCACTGGCTGGAAGCGCTATACAGAGTAAACATATTATTATTATTATTAGAATTAGCCTAGTAGTAATAGGACTACTAGTAGTAACTTTTGCCAACTGCATAATATGGGTGGTCATGTGATTTCAACATCGGCGAGAGGAGGCCCTACGTATTATGTATGCCCTATGCATTGTAAAATAATATTTTTCTAGAAGACTGATATGATTTCATCTCATGATATTTACATTTAATGATATTCTCATAAGCAGTTCTCTTTATGCTTTTTTTTTATTCGAAAAAATGCTAACGTCTGAAATATGAATAAAGTACATGACACATAGATCGTAACGTTTCTTAGATGCGTTATTAATTCAATATAATAATCCATGTATAGACAGAATGAAAATAATTACATAGTAAGGACTTTTATCCTATTTCCGCGGTAGTGTGCCGGCCGGAAGTGGAATCAGGATCGAAGCGGCTGCAGTCAGTTCTCTTCATCACTCTCGCGCGCACGGCCATCTTCCTTCAGCTCGAGAAGACTGTTCCCGCAGACATGGCCGACTACTCTAACGTGGCTCCGCCGTCCTCAAACGCTGGTGGAGGGATGAACGATGCTTTTAAAGACGCCCTTCAGAGAGCCAGACAAGTGAGTGCTTTGAAAGCGTCCAAAAATATTTCGTGTCTTCAAACTTTACATTTAAAAATTGATATAAAACGTAGCCAGCTCGTTACGTTAGCTAACGTGCTAATTTGAGGCCTTGATGCGTTGCAACAAAGAGGTTTCAGTTGTGTGCATTTTTCTTCTATTTCTTTTAACTCTTTTTTTTGTTTGTTTTTTAAAGCTTAAATGAGGCAGAATGCTTTTGGTAAATAATGCGTATATTTCACACGCCCCAATAAGCTAAAGAGCAAATTAAGTTAGTAGTTTAAACAAACGTTACGAATTGTTAGACAATTACGTAAACTGTAACTTGCGTATACACAAACAGTCACTTATAGCTGGAATTAGGTCACTAATTGTAGGATGACCTTCATATATATGTTTTTGGTAATGTTTCTTTTCATCCAATTATATGAATAAGCCATGTAACGTTACAACTTCCTACGTTTTTGGTGCTGATGAGTCGACCTAGTTATGTTCAGGACAACAGTAGTGCAGGCCACACACTGTTAACAGTGTTCTAATCATACAAAGTTATTGAAAAAACGTTTTAACTCTGCGTTTCACTATATTATTTTAGATAGCTGCAAAAATAGGAGGTGATGGCGTTCCTCCCTCTCCAGGTTCCAATGAGTTTGGTTATGGAGGACAGAAGAGACCTCTTGAAGATGGAGGTAAGCTCATAAGTGCCTTGTAGTGGCTTTGTTGTTGTGCATAATGGTCAACATAAACCACAGTGTTATATACTTGATTAATCCTCTGGTATTCTTAACTTGTGATCCTGGCAGACAAAACTGACCAAAAGCAATAATTCTTAACTTTTTTTTTTTTTTTTTTAATGAATGCTATATTTTAGTTAAATTATATTTCAGTAATTTTTAATATTTTGAGTGGATTTCATGGTACTAAACAATATTCACTGCCTCACAATATGCAACATTTATTTCTATATAAAAATTTAGGTGACTTTGTTTTTGTTTTTTGCCTAAAAAGACCAGAGACTACCAGAGGGTTAAAAGTTTTAGTCTGTTATGTAGTACTTCTATGGTTAGTGATACTACTAATTGTTTTAGGTATCAATGTTTTGGTCTAAACTGTTTTGATCTTTCTCTCTCTCTCTCTCTCTCTCTCTCTCTCTCTCTCTCTCTCTCTCTCTTCAGATCAACCAGAAACCAAGAAGGTTCCACCAAGTGATCGTAAGCATTGCAGTTGTCTTCTAGGAGAAACTAATTGGCTATTAAATGTGTTATTTAACCATTTTAAAGATTTGTCTGTTGCTCATCTTATAAGTTCATGCTTTCATTTGCATCAGCTTTTTCATCTGTAATGGGAGGCATGGGTGGCCCGCCAAGGTAACTATTTTATTATTTAATAGTTAATTTGATAATTACAATTTTTTTTTTTAATATAATGGTACATTTCTGCTCTGCCTTTTTCTTCTAATGTTATCACATCTCTGTGCAGGTCTATATCAGAAGAGTTCAAGGTTCCAGATGGCATGGTTGGCTTCAGTAAGTTGACTTGTGGCGCTTTTCCACTGCGTGGTACGACTCGGCACGGCTCTGATCGGCTCGCTTCGCTTACTCTCTTGCTTTTTTCACTGCAGTTAATACCGCTTCAAAGTGGGTGGGATTATAGACTAGTTGCGCCGCCTCTACTGCCGTGATTGGTGTCTCGTGTTGCAAATCCAATGATGCTGGTAGTGATGATTCTCTCTGTCCAATCAGTGATCTGCAGTGTTTGCACGTCACATTTTAGTATCGATACGGCTTGCTTGGAACCTCAACTGAGGTGGTACTATTTAAGCGAGCCTTACCATGCAGTGGAAAAGTGCCAGAAATTGAGCCGAGCCTTGCCGTGTAGTGGAAAAGCGCCAAAGCGAGCCGTACCGTGCTGTTCCATGCAGTGGAAAAGCACCATTACGAATTTGGAAAAACAAATATCCATTACTACGTGCTTTGGAGAACTTGCATTTAAATCTCATTAAAAGAATGCCATTTTAATTAAACCCTTGTTTTCAGTTATTGGAAGGGGAGGAGAACAGATTTCAAGAATACAGCAGGATTCAGGGTGCAAAATACAGATTTCTCCCGGTGAGTCAAATTGCC